TCTTGACTTCTCCACACTCGAAATATACATGTATACTTTTTTTGCTCAATACAAAGCGGAATTGCCGTTTGCTTGTGGGCTTAGTCGTCATCATTAATTTTTGTTTTATACGTTTTGTACATTATTGTACAATTGTTTGTTTTCCTTGGTTTAATATTGCGTTGACCCTTGACGTTTGGTTCCGTGTGCTAGCTGTGCAGCACCATGCATATCAAAACCGATTATAGTAGAATGCTGTGGTGAGTGGGATTTTCGGTCTTTGACCACGTTGCCGGTGAGTCTCATACAGGGAGTCGGTATTTTACGACTCCCTTGTCTCATGATTATTGAATTTTTTTGTGGTGATGTTCCTACGTACGTATCTGGGAACTCGATTCCATTTTGCTCCGAAAAAAACCCGGGTATTTACGCTCTTCCCGTACAACGTTTCATAAAAATCGCTCGGTCGGTTTGGTTTCTCAACTCGGGTTTTCACGCACACATGCTGCGGTTTCTTCCAAAATCATGGCGATCCACAGTGAATCCCGCTGACACACATACTATTTCAGAGAATTGATCTGGTGCGCGTGGGCAGAGCAAATTTGAGCTATGTACAGCTGTATGTAGGCCGGGGGGGGGGGGGGGGAGCGCCGCGGCAAACAGAAAACTCCGAGCTAGCCCGAGCTTTCACAACATCACGTGCTGCCTTGACGTCACATAATTTGCGTTTATTGCACTTGCACGTCCACAGTACATGCGCATGGCGAAATGCGCATGTACGTACGTACATGAACAGTACTGTCAGTACAGTAGTACAGTACCAAGAGTACACTACTGACTGTCACTACAGGGAGGTTCTGCTCTACGTTTTGGGAACGCGACGCAAAGAATCACGCGAACTTTCTTCGCGTTCCTGTAACGTAAAGAAATCCTGTTCTGCTCTACGTTTCACCTAGAGAAGTCACGTGGAATGTGTACTGGGAATTTCCCCTTCCATACTGTATTTGGCAGTTTGCTGCATGCAGGTGCGGGAGGCTCCCGCACCAAAATCGAGCCAAAGCCATTTTTTTTTTTTTGAACAGTTCATACATGTACAGTACTGATCGTGTCATGTAGATCTGTGACGTGGAGTCACACAAACCCGGGCTTGTACGACTCCCTAATGTACAGATCAGGGCCATCGTTGGCCGAAATATAGAAAAATCGAAAGGGTAAACCGCGTATACTGTTGTCTGTAAAAAAATGAATAAAAATACCGGAAAATGCTGTAAAAAAGTTCAACATGGCATGCATACATACGTACATACATGGGAACAAAATAAAATTCGCCCGCCCGCACCAATTTCACATGGGTTCCGCCGGGAATCTCGATTTTCTTACCTTTGAAAATTATCATGTTCAACTGTCTTCGTAATCGTCATACTCGTCCAACCGATGTCACCCTCACCCTGGGAATAATCAGCTCATCTCTCCCGTAGCTCCACCTCTCCTTCCACCATGACCGAACATATACCTCATTTGTTTAATTATTACAGCAATAACCATAGCTTGCACAGTCGATGGTCTCCTCCAGCGCGCTTCTTTGCACATCTTTGCGGAAAAGTTGCGAAGTACCGGTAGTTTAAGAAAATGAAGAAAGTTGCGATTTCTTCCAAAACAACGGAAAGTTGCGAAAAAAAGGGCGAGAATCTTTGGAAAAGGGCTACTGTACTCCGAGCCTTTTACCATGCAGACCACCAGCACTGATCAGGTGCGTTGTACACAATTGTGTAGCTTACATACTAGAATTGTGGTACAATCATGTAGTTATGCTCCTACCTCCGAAAGGATACCAAATTATGCTCCAAATTTTCAACCACCAAATTATGCCAATAATTATGCCGGCATAATCCGCCGGTGCCTAGTGATCGATACCCAGCAAATCTGTACGCATTTTCTCTGCGTGTACCACAACGTAGAGAACCTCATCTCCGCGTAGAAATCTGGAGCCAAAACACGCGAAGCCGTAGACTCTAACCCAGACACCTGCTCTCTACGTGATTTCTCTACGTTTCACGTATAGCAGAACCTCTCTATTATACTAATATTTATAGCAATAAAAACTGCTTTATGGCAGCTTTCTAAAAAAAGGTATTGTGTTCTAGTCCTGGGTCTGGCGGCAGTGCAAGCTCAACTGTGCGCTGTTGGTCTGCAACCAAGTCAGTGAAGAGCATACAGTTGCAGCGTGGGTTCGGAGAGCGTTGCGAGCTGACGTCTGAACTGCCTTCTTGGCTGCTTGTCCATCACAGATAGCATCGCCAAGCGGCATCACTTGCTGGATGATGTTGTGTTGTAGGGTTCTGGTGATTTGCTTCGATGACTGATACTGAGAGGCCAGCTGGGTCGGGTCAATGATACCAAGCCCCCCCGTAACGGCAGGGCAGGGCAAGCACAGCGCGGTCCTCCTCGCAGATCTGACGTCCGCCCGGTGATCGCAGGGATCAGTTTGTCCCGGATAGCACTCTCCAGTGGCCCAAAGCTTTGAGCAGCGTTGGACATGGTGCGGCACAGAAAGGACCACTTGTGTTTCAAGCCACTGGTGATTGCCGAGAAGGCAGCCTGCGGTTGAGACGACGCAATGACGGCTAGACGCTCCAGCTGGCCTATCCAGGATTGGACTTTGCCCTCGACATAGGATTGTAGGAACTCAGCAGTACCTAGATAGCAACACCCATCCACACGAATGGTCACCCCAGTGTCCCTGAATAGCTCCTGCGCCAGCCCGAGGACTGCCGGTTTGACGAGGAGGACAGATTTACTCGGGTTCAGGTGGTATCCGTACAAGGGACCTTTGCCTTTGGTGGTCAGCGCATCCAACCAAGCCCGTACCTTAACTAACTTTCCATCAGCACTTGATCCAGCTTTGCATAGGGCCTTGGTCGAGCGTAATCGGATCTTTGCGTCATAATACCGTACACATCTGAGAGGAACCCGGGGAGTCGCGGGTACTCTTGGATAAAAAAACAATGGTGCCCTGCCTCGAGACCGGCCTTGCGCTGGTGTGGAGTGTACGCATGACATCAGAAGATCCGATTACGCTCGACCAAGACCCTATCTATTTTTTTCCTGCCTTCATATCACTTCAGACTCATTTCAGAGAAACAGTAGATCAACAGTAGTTACGATAATAGAGAGGTTCCGCATAACGTAATTACGTTAGTAAAAAACGTAGTCGATCTACGGAAAGTCTTACGTAAACTGCATGCGCATCTGTGTTCCTGGAAATACATAATCCTTCTTGATGAATGCATGATGAAAAAAGAGAAAAAATAATAAGGCACCCATTTTTATAGTCCAGGGGATGGCCCACGCCTGGTAAAAAGAATAAACAGAGAAAAGAAAAAAGACAGTTCAATTGCACACTGATCACAAAAGAAGATGAGTCCGTCTACGGCGAGGAAAGCCGAGCCTCAACCACCTCCAGACCAATATTGTCCGGGTTGAGATGGATGCGTGCCCTAGGACGTCTTGAACCGCGCAGGCACAGGATAGAGGCTCTGACGAGAGAGAGATGCTGATCTTCGACCTCAGCCAAGCCATCACTTGTGAGTAGGGTTGCAACTTCTTCTCTGCCATGAGACTTGCGATCCTCTTCACCACAGCATTAGCACTTCGACCTGCTCCACCTGATGTGGCGTAGACGACAGGGATGAAGGAGGCATGTTCCACCTCTCGCACACGTGCTTCGTATAAGCGGCGCTTCTCCTGCTCGTGTTTGCGGTAGACAGAGGCAATAGACGACGATGAATTGGAGCGAGCATAGGGGTTGAAAACCCTTCCATCCAAAAATGAACGCTCAAAACGACCGCCGTACACGCCATTTGCCACCACATCCAATCGAGCTTGGTCGCCTCTCACCGCGGTGCGTGGCTGAAGGTGCTCTCCACTAAGGCCAGTAAGGGGCTCTAGATGTGGCTCGATCTCCACTGCATGAGCGACTTTATCTATGCAGAGCTGGATCAGGCGTTGCACACTCTGGCCCTGGGGGTTTTTGTACTACAGTTCCGCTCAATGAAATCCAGCCGCGTCACTCAAGTTTGCACCTTGCACCATTTTGCAGCCCAGTGTTCGCAGGTCTAGGGCTGCGCAACGCCCGGCGTGTACTTGAGTGACGTGACTGGATTTCATTGAGCACCACTGTAGTACTCTTGGTAGTACCAAGAGTATTACTTAACCCCCCCCCCCCCCGGATCTTTGCGTCATAATACCGTACACATCTGAGGGGAACCCGGGGAGTCGCGGGTACTCTCGGATCAAAAACAATGGTGCCCTGCCTCGAGACCGGCCTTGCGCTGGCGTGGAGTGTACGCATGACATCAGAAGATCCGATTCCGCTCGACCAAGCTAGCAAGACCCTATGGCTATGCAGAGCTGGATCGGCGTTGCACACTCTGATCTGGGGGGTTATGTACTCTTGGTATGCAGTAATAGACGAAGACGAGACCTTTATTGACGAGACCTACCTCGATTTGTCACATTTAGTCCCTCTGTGTTCACGACAACTTCATTGAATGACCTGAAAGTACGTTAGTTACTGGGTGCCACTGCCAGTTTGTCGTTGCTGGTAGCCGCTTGAAAATCTGCGAGAAAGCTCTTGGGTTACGCGCAGCGTTGCTGTTTCGAGTCCGCACGGTTTGCCGGATAGATGGCTGTGAGTCAGTTGTCTACGGAGGTAGTGGACACGTAGAAAGTTGGTGACGATCCTGAAGAGAAATGTGCTGAACGTCCGGTTAATCCGAATAGAATTCCTGTAATACGGACTAGGCCGAGTAGTGCAGCATCACACTGCTACTACTGCTGCATCAGTACTGGACTTCTGCGGCCTTGTACCCGGGCTTGAGTGGAAATAAGTTATAATTTTATAATTTCGTTCAGTGTCAGTCGGTGGCGAGCTAGCTGCCGTTGATCAATACAAGAATTGCCGGCCTGAGTGTACGTCAGTAAAAGGAGCGTGAGCATATTCCGTAGTTGAACGTCGCAGGCAGAACTGACTTCACCATGACAACCAAGGAGTCCCAGAGTGCCGAGAATCACCGTGGCAACGGCAGCTCAGAAGCGGACGGCGGGGCGAGTAAGGACGCGGACAAGTTCCCCATCCTGGCGACTGCACCGGCGTACTTGAGTATCTTCTCGTTTTTCTTCAGCCTGCTGATGGTGATGCCATTCCTGCCGTTCATGACCAAGGACTTTGTGGATCGACCGAGAAATGAGTTAGGGTACGTATTGTGCAAAGTCTGCAGCCACCTCTATCATGCAGTATTCTGTTCTCGAGGTTCGTGGTTTCTCGTAAAAAAGAACAAAACACAACAAACAAACAACAACAATACAACAACAACAACAAGCCAATGTACTGTCGTGGACATGGAAATCCAGTCGGAGGTCAAGCGGCCCCCATGCCCCCCATGGCCCCAGTGCGCTGGCCATGCAGCCGTGAGTTCGCATGCGCTAAACACGCGCACCGTGCATGCAACGTTCTGTACGCACTGACGGCGCATTCGACCGGATTTCCATGTCCACGGCAGTGCTACTGGCAGCGCCCAAAGCTTTGCAGTTCGTTCGAGGAATAAAAAGACTGAGACTCGGGGGGGGGGCATCGCAAGCTTGATTTTGTCCAAATTGCGGCCCACCCTGATCCTATTCCAACGTGTGGGGTTTAGAACCGACCCTCTACACCGATTGCAGCATGGGAATTATGTACTGGGTTTGTGAAGCCTGGCCTTTGACGTTGTGGGCCCAGCATTTCATGGAAAGATTTGCAGGGGGTGGGGGAGCACCACCTTGGTCCCTCGTCTCCTCCTCTCGCCTTACCATGTGCACTCGTACCTTGGTTATCCGGACGCCGAAGTTACGAGCACTTCGGTCTACCGGGCACCCTTTCAGGGCCTTTGGGCGCGTTTCAGTGGAATTATTGCCACTCTCTTGTTGTCACTTTTTGTGGAAATAATGACGTCATGCCGTATCTATGGCATTTCTCCATCGAAATGTATGTGATCTGGAGTTACAGACATTTGGAAGTTACGGACAGTGCCCGGTCCCCGGACCGCCTGGATAAAGGTATGAGTGCACTAGTATTGAACAAAGGAAGCAACAACTGCATAACCCACAGCCCCACCCACAGCATCTCACCTTCTCGTAAACTTATCTCTTATTACTGCAAATGGTGCCATCGTGAGAATAAAGAATTCAACAAAGGAAGCCACATCTTCCCGTGCACATGCATCCCACTCGGCTGTTAGGGCAGCATACATGTTGTGCATACCACAAGGAGTGAGCTTTTGATCTTTCCAGGGGACGTATGCACGACGTTGCCAAACAAGATACCATGTCTTGCATCACAACAGTTGAAGTGGTGCGCAGTCCCCAATGGCCAGTGTCCGGTTTCAGAATGTCAAAGTTTATCGTTCTGTGTGTGTATGTGTGTGTGTGTGTGTGTGTGTGTGTGTGTGTGTGTGTGTGTGTGTGTGTGTGTGTGTGTGTGTGTGTGTGTGTGTGTGTGTGTGTGTGTGTGTGTGTGTGTGTGTGTGTGTGTGCTCTCTCTCTCTCCCTCCCTCCCTCCTCTCTCTCTCTCTCTCTCTCTCTCTCTCTCTCTCTCTCTCTCTCTCTCTCTCTCTCTCTCTCTCTCTCTCTCTCTCTCTCTCTCTCTCTCTCTCTCTCTCTCTCTCTCTCTCTCTCTCTCTCTCTCTCTCTCTCTCTCTCTCTCTCTCTCTCTCTCTCTCTCTCTCTCTCTCTCTCTGTCTCTCTCTGTCCGTCTCTCTCTGCACAGGTACTATGCTGGATTTCTAGCCAGTGCTTTCTCAGTGGGTGACTTGATAGGCAGTGCGGTGTGGGGCACGTTGGCGGATCGCTATGGCCGTCGCCCCATCATGATCATGTCGCCGATCGCCTCCTCCGTCTTCGTCATCTTGTTCGGCCTGAGCCGGTCGTTTGCGTGGGCGGTGATGGCACGCCTCTGCTGGGGCGCGGTGGCCAGTACAATGGCCGTCACCAAGACCCTGCTCGGCGAGCTGTCCACCGAGAGCACGCGGGCGCGCATGTTTGCGCTGATCGGCTTCTCGAATGGCGTGGCTAAACTGCTAGGTCCCGGCCTCAGCGGCTTGCTCTACAAGCCGTCGGCCAAGTACGCTAGCATGGACACAGAGTTCTGGCGCTCGCACCCGTACCTGCTGCCCTGCCTCATCGTGGTCCTCGTCAACCTGGTCAGCTTCGTCATGTCGCTGCTCTTCCTCAAGGAGACGCTGCCGTCGGTGGAGAACACGCGCCGCACTCGCCCGCGCCCAGCAGTGCCGACGACGCCATAGGTGACGGTGATGATGTCATCAATGACTCATCATTTGCAGCAGCTGCCGTGGCCACACTGGGTGACTGTGGTGCTGGTGAAGCCACTGGTAACGGCGAGCAGGTGCAGTTGAGAGAGGTGGCATCGTCACCACGGAAACATAATGGCCGACCGCATCGAGACAAAACCGAATCGCCCCTGGTGGTGACGATGGTTGCATCATCTAAAAGTGCGAGAGATGACCCAACATCATTGGCAACAACGACAACCGTGCAAACCAAGATTATCACCGGGCAGGACCACGCGGGGAAACGAGAAGGTCGGCACAGGCAAAGGAGCATTGCCGCTCGCATCCAACACCGCATTGGCCACGGCCGTCGCAGCTACCGTAATCTCCCCGAGCCAGGGAATGACGACTTTGGTACTGATGATGTCGCTGTCTTGCTGGATGACTCATCATCCGCTCTTCGGAGTGGCGGCAACGGTGGCAAAGGCGGGTGCTGCCGGGTACTGCGCATGTACGCGCGCATCCTGCGCTTGCTGAGCGTGCGCACCATCCGCCTGGCCGTCTCCTCATTCGTCATCCTGGCACTGACGGACATGATGGTGTCGGAGACGCTGCCGCTGCTGCTCGTCAACAACTACTCCCACGGCGGCCTGTGCTTCAACACGTCCGAGATCGGTGTCTTCAACTCGGCCATCGCCGTCTTCCAGCTCGGCTCGCAGATGTTCCTCTACCCTCGCCTGGCCAAGCGCTTCGGCTATCGGCGACTGCACCAGGGTGCCATCGCCGTGTTTGCCCTCGGCTGCTTCCTCACGCCCTGGCTGTCGAGCATCGTCGGCTCTCAGGACCCGTTGCCGCGACAACCCGCTGCTGCGGCGCTCGCCAATCAGACGTTGCCGAACGCCACGACGGCTGGGGGAGCGTACGACGACTACGCGGAGTCGAAATATTACAACTTCAGCGGTGGCGCGCCCGAGCATTGCTACACAGCACGGACCCGCGTCTGGAGCTCGCTGAACACGACGCTGTCATCACCGTCCACTGCACTGCCCATGCATCGTCGCGCCTTCGACAATTCATCCGCAGAGCTGCTGTGGAACTACACGACAGTAACTCTAGACCAGTGCGGGCGCGTATCGCAGGATCAGATCGAGCTCATTCCGCTCGACCAGCGCGTCAGTGAGTTCCGGTACCTGGCGTGCCTCGACTGGTGGGTTTGGCCGACGGTGCTGCTGATGCGACTGCCCGTCTTCCTCTCCATGATCATGGCGTTCACGTGCACAAACGTGTTCATCAACAACTCGTGCGACGCATCGGTGAGTGCTCGTGTGCAGCCTCCGTGTGTGTGTGTGTGTGTGTGTGTGTGTTTGCGCCTACGTGTTTGTACACGTGCAAAGTTGTGAATGTCCCTGTGTGAGTGCATCATGCCTGTCTCCCGGACGGTGCACTGTGTAATTTTTATCAGCCGACTTCCCCTACACTGGGCCACAGCGCTAGATTTCGGGCGTTACCGTAATGTCGCGTATAAAAGCAGGTGCTTACGGCCGTATAAGCCGGGGTTCAAACCATGCTTCTACGTCAACCTCATCAGTGCAGTGTCACTGTGCAGTGCATACCGCCACGTATGAACTGTGCAAGTACGTGCTCGTGTCTTTGCACAGAGCGGCTTCTATTCAAATCGTGCTTCTGTGTCACGGCGCGCTTCAAAAATCGGCTTCTATTCGAGTCATGCTTTTATAATTATATGCGACACTACGGTATAATAAATATATCGTAGTGTCGCGTATTTTTTTTATTTTTTTTTTACTAAGGCCCACAGCTTCCAATCATGACATGCAAAGCAGCGGTGCAGCATCGCAGGCATGAATCGTGGACGTGGTGACGGGGTCTGATGTGCTCCACCGACCTAGGGTCTCGGCTTCACTGCACAGCAAACGCGTCGAAAGAAACGAGGGCTAATAATTATCGGGAGATGGGGGGGGAAGAAGAAGAGAAGAGAGAGAGAGAGAGAGAGAGAGAGAGAGAGAGAGAGAGAGAGAGAGAGAGAGAGAGAGAGAGAGAGAGAGAGAGAGAGAGAGAGAGCGAGAGAGAGAGAGAGAGAGAGAGAGAGAGAGAGAGAGAGAGAGAGAGAGAGGGAGAGAGAGAGAGAGAGAGAGAGAGAGAGAGAGAGAGAAAAAGAGAGAGAGAGAGAGAGAGAGAGAGAGAGAGAGAAAAAGAGAGAGAGAGAGAGAGAGAGAGAGAGAGAGAGAGAGAGAGAGAGAGAGAGAGAGAGAGAGAGAGAGAGAGAGAGAGAGAGAGAGAGAGAGAGAGAGAGAGAGAGAGAGAGAGAGAGAGAGAGAGAGAGAGAGAGAGAGAGAGAGAGAGAGAGAGAGCGTATAAAAGCATGACTCGAAAAGAAGCCGATTTTTGTATATGAATGCAAGCCTTGCCTGATACGTAACATGTTTTCACGGTGACAGCGCGAACAAGGCGTCTGGTTCATGGTTGTAGCCAGGAGCACTGTTTCCCATACACTCTTCGCCTTGTTCACGCTGTCCCTGTGAAAAGATTTCGGGAGTTGTAGTGCACTGGGCGCCGGCATATCACAACCATAGCAACGAATTCAGTGCTCTAATTTCAGAAATTTTTGGTGCTCAATATTTTCGGTATGAGGGCAAAAGGCCAGGTTAAGTGAACAGAAAATTTAGGTACAGAGAAGCAGTTCCCTATTGGATTATGTGTGTTAGTGTTTGTTCGGTGTATTGAAATTTTAGGTCTGAAAAAGACGCACCGAAAGTACCTTCGGCGAAATAATTATAAGTACACTGAAACTTTGCGAAATTACAGTATTCCAGAACGTTTTCTTGTCATTATTCGTAGATAAACCAGGCACCTACATGTAGATTTTGCCTAAAATGTGCTAGAGTGTGAGAGCGGGTTTTTCCAGCCGTGCTGCTACCCACAGTCAACTGGGGAACTTGTGGCCAGGCACAAGGGGTACATGGATGCAGCTAATGGGGTCATTCTCGGCACTTGTGCCAGTGGTTGTGAGACTTATCCACTCACCCCCACCGTTAGGCACTGCATCTGCCGCTAGGGTTTACCGGGTGTTAGCAGCCTTCATGAGTTCCCTTCGGGAACGGACACGATAATTTACTTTTTATTTTATTTTTTATTTTTTAGTGTGCACTGTATATGAAGGGTAGGCTGGTCACCTACAAGTAATTCTACATTACACCTGAAACCTGGCAGGTCCCTGATATCGAAATGTTAGAACACCTAAAACTACATGTTCTACCAAGCAACAACCACCCAGCTTGGGAGGCTCAATTTGATCAAGGATAAGAAGTGGAAGGGAAGCTTGGCGAGGACGAATTGTAACGAACGGAATGCCGATATCCTACAGTACTGTGAAACGATCGTCGTGTGATCCTACATGTATACATGTTATAGTACCGGTAGTTAATTTGTCCATCATACTTCATGGTCTTTTAACCAAGTGCAGTACGGCAGGATATCGGCATTCGGTTCATTACAATTCGTCCTCGCGAAGCTTCCCTTTCACTTCTTATCCTTGATAAAATTGAACCTCCCACGTTGGGTGGTTGTTGCTTTGCGTCGTAGAGTTGTGGTTAGACCGTATTGTCTTACCGTCCCGTTATCGTACCAAGCCAGCATTCCACTCTGCTTTGGAATGTAGCTTGTGTTCGGTTTGATGGCGCTTGCCTCCCCTCTTTTGGAATTATCACCAGAGAGGTTTTGCAGAGCGAATGTTTGCGCGAATTTTCGTTTGATGTCACAAGAAGCGAAACTTCGTGCGAACGTTCGCAGTTTTGAACGCGGAAGTTGCAGGAAACGCAGTAATTTTCGCTCATCGCGGACCGGAAGTTGCAGGAAACGCGAAACAAACGTTCGCAGTAATTTTCGCTCATCGCGGACCGGTGGTGCACGGTGAGCCACCCTCAATCCTCATTTTATGCTTGATCTCTGCTCTTGGCTTGGTCCGTGGGTGCTAGCTTTCCCATAGATTTGGCGTGTTGCTTTATCTCCGGAACCATCTCCAATCTCCTGCCTGCACGTCTTCTCACTGCTCAGAGTTGGTTACATCAATGATGATGATGCATTCTTTTAAATTTCAGGTGTTGATGCGCCAGATTACAGCACAAGCCAACCCGTTTGTCTGTGGGTCTCCAGCCATGGTTAACTTAGTCAAAGAGCTCTCGTCTCCGGTAGTGACTCAGGGTGCCGCCACTCGCAACAAACGAATAATCGGATGAAGACCACTTCTCAAACAAGCGAGATTG